AACTAGAAGGGGAAGGATAAGGAGAACACCGTGAAGAACGGCAGCCCACACCCTGGTCTGGAAAAACGCAGATTCCATTCTCTATCAGAGTCCTCTTCCCCCCTCCCTCCCACCTTCCTCCCTTCCACAGATCTCTGAGATTCCCTCTGTCTCGGACACGGGCTAATTTCCACGGGACAGCCCAGACAGGTCCTTTGCCTCTAGTCCTCGGCCAAGTGCAGAAGAAAGAAACTCCAAGCCAGAGAAAACAGCAGTCCTCGGGTGTTATGAAAACACCCAGGGCCCAGAACCCAGCCTGGGGGGCTTTAAGGAAGGCTTCCTAGAGGAAGTGCCACCCTCAGTTGAGGCCTTCCAGATAAGAGAGATTAAGCAGATGGCAGGGCTGGAGAGGAGGGCGGCTGACGCAGCCACCCGCGTCCCTGGCCGCCTCCATGGCCCCACCACCCAGCTAGTGTCAGGGCTTCCAGCTCCTTCATTCTGTTAGCACTACTTTCAGAATCACTGCTCACCCCCTCACCCCATCTGGTGTCCTGCCGGTCGCAGAGCCCATGTCGCCTGCAACTTCTGTTGTTTTCGCTTTCTTTTCTTTTCTCCCCCTGACCGCATTCGCCTCTTTCCTCTTTCATCCCTTTCCCTGCCACCAAAGTGTAGGTGTCGGGTCCTCCTCGAGGTGTAAGCTCATGCCTTACCCTCCGCTGCCAGTCATCTCCTCCATGCTCACGTCAACATCCAAAGCGCCGTCTCCTGCCCTGGCCCTCCCACTGACCACTCAGGCACCTCAGGTTCATCGTGAGGGAGCCTGACCTCGTCTTCTCATGTATCGCCACCTCCAAACTTGCTCATCTGGCTGGGCACGGCAGCTTGTGTCTGTCATCCCAGATTTTGGGATGCCGAGGTGAGAGGCTTGCTGGAGCCCAGGAGTTTGAGGTCACCCTGGGCAACATAGCAAGACCTCATCTCTACCCAAAAAATGTATGCATTTATCAAAAAATTAGCAGGGTGTGGTGGCGTGCCTGTAGTCTCAGGTTACTCGGGAGGCTGAGGCAGGAGGATCACCTGAGCCCAGAAGTGAGCCACGATTGTGCCACTGCACTCCCGCCGGGGTGACAGAGTGAGACCCTGACTAAAAAAAAAAAATCCTTGCCATCATTTCACCTCCTTTTGCTCATCCTTTAGTGACTGCATCGCTGAAGAAGCTCTTACTTTCCTCTTTTTCTCCCAGAAGAGTGGCGTGGGGTCTCCTTTATCCTTGCCTAGGAGTTATTTGTCCCCTTCCCTGTCACCTGACCGCCACACTGTCCCTTTCTCCCCCATGTGTCTCACATTCCATAGCCAGACGGGGGGTTTCTTACGCCTAGACACCTGTGAAGATGCCCTGCTTCTGATGAGAGCCTCCCAGGGGCTCCCTGTGGTCAGCAAAATAAAGTTCAACTTTTTGGGCAGACCTCAATCTTGCTTCCCGTCTCCTCTCCCTCTCACCCCCTCATTGCCTTTGCTTAAGACTAATGCCCCTTCCTTCTTTTTTTTTTTTCTTTTTTTGAGTTGGAGTCTCACTCTGTCGCCCAGACTGGAGTGCAGTGGCCGCTCCCGGCCCCCGCAACCTCGACCTGCTGGGCTCTGGCGATCCTTCCGCCTCAGCCTTCCAAGGAGCTGGAACTACAGGCGCGTGCTACCACGCCCGGCTGGTTTTTTATTTATTGTAGAGACGAGGTCTCGCCAACTTGCCCAAGCGGGTCTCAAACCCGCAGGCTCAGGCGATCCACTTGCCTCGGCCTCCCAGAGTGCTGGGATGACAGACTCAGCCACTGAGCCTGGCCTAAATGCCCCTTCCTTCTAAGTCCCCGCTCCCCAGATCCTCAGCCCAAATATCTCTGTCTCCAAGGAACTGCCTCTCAATTTTTCATCGGAAGAAACCTCCCTCCTCTCTGATTTTGTCTGTACCTCCCTCTTAGAACTCACCCGCCTCCGCTCCGCATTTTGGTTATTGGAGGGGTCTGTTTGCCCCGGCATATCTTGAGGTCAAGGGTTCAGGTCCTTTTGCCTTTGTATGCAGGTTCCAATATGGGGCTCGTGCATATTGAGTAGGCATTGCGTGAAGGCATGAGTGTGGTTTCAGTAAGACCCACGAAAAAGAAGTCTTTTCTGATTTCACCCTTAGAAAACCAGCCTACAAAGTAGCACAACCGAATCATCAGAGCCAAGAACAGAGATGATATATTTTCATCTAAATTCTGTCTTTATCCACCTTCCCAAGTAATTCACGTTTCCCATCTGCATCACCGTGGGGGTGATTCTGGCCAGACATTGACCTCGGTAAAATTTCCTCCATGTTATAAGAAATCAAGTCAAGTATGCCATGGAACATAGTTTCTACTTATGGAAAAGTTCGTGTTTCAGCAGGGTCCTCAAATACCACAGAATCCGTCAAGTTCTAACATCTGTGTCTCTCAACACAACTTGAAGTTCCTGTTTCTGTTTCCTCGGCCTGCATTTCCAACTCAGTGAGCAGGACCGTGACGATGTTGATAAAAGAGCTCACATACCTGCCCGGTCCTGCTGAGCTCTGCAGATGTGAATAGGCAGGTCTACACATGACCTGTGGAGTGAAGAGTGGTGGCCCTAACTTCGTGGAGCCTCTGGATTTAGCCTTGCAAAAGTAAAAGTTTGCACAGAGAGACATTTCTGTTTCTTGAGACTTGCACACACGTTCTCTCCCTCTCTCTCTCACATACACATGCACACACACTCACACACTCCTAATTGAGTAAGGGAAATGAAAAGAAAGCATGACTTCAACTAAATGAAAAGCAAGTAGCCGGGCGTGGTAGCCTGCGCCTGTAGTTCTGGCTGCTTGGAAGGCTGAGGCAGAAGGGCCCAGCGGGTCGATGCTGGGGTGACCATGAGCGTGCCACTGCCCTCCAGCTTGGGTGACAGAGTGAGACTTCAACTCAAAAAAAAAAAGTGAGACTCCAAATCAAAAAAAAAAAAAGAAGCTAGGCTCGGTGGCTCAGCCTGTAATCCCACGCCTTTGGGAGGCTGAGGTGAGTGGATTGCCTGAGCCTGCGTGTTCGAGACCTGCCTGGGCAGCGAGACCTCATCTCTAAAATAAATCAAAAAATCAGCCGGGCATTGTAGCACATGCCTGTAATTCCAGCTACCTGGAAGGCTGAGGCGGAGGGATTGCTGGAGCCCAGCAGGCGAGGCTGCGGTGGCCAGAAGCAGCCACTGCACTCCAGTCTGGGCGACCGAGTGAGACTCCAACTCAAAAAAAAAAAAGAAAAGAAAAGAAAAGCAAGTTGGCTGGGCGCAGTGGCTCATGCCTGTAATTACAATGCTTTGGGAGGCCAAAGCAGGAGGATTGGTTGATCCCAGGAGTTCACAACCAGCCTGGGCAACATAATGAGACCCTATCTCTACAAAAAATTTAAAATGAGCTATGCATGGTGGTGTGTGTCCGTAGTCCCACTACTTGAAAGACTGAGGTGGGGAGGATTACTTGAGCCCAAAAGTTTGAGGCTGTAGTGAGCTATGAGGGTGCCACTACACTCCAGTCTGGGCAACAGAGCAAGACCCCATCTCAAGAAAGAGAGAGAAAGGAAGAAAGAAATTGTAGGAATTGTGCTAAATAGCTTTTTTGTTGTTGGTCCAGTAAAGACAGTGGTGAGAAAGGGAACTCAAACAGAAGCAATTAATGGCCAGATTACTTAGGGGGAAAAACTAGCTGGTAAGACATGGGAATGCTCCTGTGTGAAAAAAAAAAATAGACTTGTGATTACATGAATGTGTGTATGCTGCTGAGACTTGGAGATTGATGAGCTCAGGGCAAGGAGAAAGGCTTCTTAGAAGATGAAAAGAGAAAGATTGTTTCAAGGGCTTAAAACATATTGACACCATGGAGTCAGCACACCTTGAAGGGTGAAACTTTTAGAGACCTGAGAATGCAGAGGCATCTAAGAGCTGAGCTCATCCAGCAGTCACCTGAAGATACTGACAAGGAATCTGAGACCAGCACTGGTCTGTGACATCCTAAGTTCATACAACCCTGAGCTTTTGCCTCAATGCTTGCGTTGCTTCTGCAGTACCATGGATGGCGGGGGTGACGTGAGCTCATGAGAGAGGCTTTTGTTGCATAAAGATGGAGTTCACATAAACAGAGGTATGCCGGGACTGGTCTCCTCTGCCGACTTTATGGAAAACACACATGCACACACACGCACACACACGCGCACACACACACACACCCCTCTCCAAGAAGTTCCCTCACATCCCACATGTATGCCATAGCCAGGCCTTAGTTGTAAAAACAGAACCACAGTCAGATGGGCAGACACACGATCGCCTCTCGAGATTTGGTCACCGCTTGTTCACAGTCTATCTTAGCTGCTTTGCAGTATCTACTTAAATAAATAAGTATAATAGATGGAAAGAATTATAACCTGGACTGACAACATGCCCAACCCAAGGCAGATAAGAAATAAAATAAGGAAAATAACCCATAATGCAAAATAAAGATAAAACAAGAGCACATTGTGTGCATCAGTGCTTTTTTTTTTTGCTTTTTTTGAGATGGAGTTGGAAAGAGAATCATACCTTACTGCCGCCTCGACCTCCTGGGCTTACGTGATCCTCCCACCTCAGCCTCCCTAGTAGCTGGAACTCCAGGCTCAAGCCACAGCGCCCAGCTGATACTTTCTTAAGAGTAGGGACACTAGTGCATTTAGCAGATATTTATTGAGTGTCTACTGTGTATCGGGTACTGTTCTGGGCATGAGGACACAGTACGGGGAGCAAATAAAAGCCCCTATGCCCAGGGAGTTTATATCCTAGAAGGGTATGCGTGACTCACCTCCCATTGAAATACCATCTGAAGATCCATTCCCCCCACTGCACCCCCACCCTACCCCAGGTTTTGGCGGAAATTTAACTAAGTTGGAAAATTGATACTATCTCCATTTCATAAAGGGATATGATTTTAATGAAGGTTGCTTTTTGGCTTTTAGGGAGAAGAAAATGGCTTTCCAGACAGTACCGGAGATTCCCTTTCAGGTAAGTGACTGGTTCCAGAGATACCTGTCTGCAGTGGTAGCTTCTGTGGCTAAATTAGAGATAATTTGAGACTCTATTGATTGTTAACTTTTTTAAAAAATTTAATTTTTCTTAAAGAGACAAAGTTTCACTAAGCTGCCCAGGCTGGTCTTGAACTTCTAGGCTCAAGCAATCCTCCTGTCTCAGCCTCCCAAAGTGCTGGGATTACAGGCGGGAGCTACAGTGCCCGGCCAACTTTTAAAATCTGCATTGCAGAATCGAGCAGGTTTCTACCCTACATACCAGCACCATGGTGAACCAGGAAAAGCTGTTTCTTATAAAATTTCACGAAGCCTTCAGAGATTGTTTTCTCTGAGCGGACACGCCTTTGGTTGTGAGGGACACAGCAGGGTTCGGCACTGGGTGGGTTTAGGATCGGGCCACAGTCAGGACCTAGCCAGACCCTTCCCTCCCTACGGGTTCCGAGAGCCATAGCATTGGCAGAAAATGTGGCTGCTCGTTGCCTGAGACTTTACAGATCAAAGGCCAGCAGGGTTGTTGCTACCTCTGTCCCTCTCTGTGCCTCTCTCTACACATAGGTAGCTGAAGGAGCCCCCTCCTGACGTTAGGTCACGTGTTGTTGGCCACTCCTTTTCTGCTTTTGATATGTTCAACCAAAGGAACATTAAAATTTATTTCTTCCCTCTCCCTCTTTTTGAATCCTAAAACAGACATTTTTGGCAGGGTCTGTATCTCTTATTAATTAATCAGGGGGAGGATAGGGAATGAGCATTAAAATAAGTAGCTAAAATAACTTTTTTTAAACCTCAGCCGGGTGCAGTGGCTCACGCCTGTAATCCCAACACTTTGGGAGCCGAGGCGGGCAGATTGTTTGAGTCCAGGAGTTCAAGACCAGACTGGGCAACATAGCAAGACCTCGTCTCTACAAAAAAATTTAAAAATTAGTCAATGTGGTGGCGCATGCCTGAAGTCCCAGCTACTTGGGAGGCTGAGGTGGAAGGATTGCCTGAGTCCAGGAACAATCTGTGAGTCATGACTGTGGTGATCATGCCACTGCACGCCATCCTGAGTGACAGAGTGAGACCCAGACTCAAAACAAACAAAGAAACACACCTCACCAACATTTTCTACATCTTTTAAAATACATATTGAATGACCTGGGTCATCAGAGTTGTGTTTGTTTCTTTCTTTTTTAAGGTGAGGGGGCAGGGGACCCATAAAACCTCAGGGACAGCTATAATCAACCCAGGTAACCAAGATGAAAAATCAGAACAAGCTGTATGTACTCGACTCTTTATTTCCCCTTAGAAACATGATATTAGAACATACACCAACCTGTTTTAGCAGTAGCTATCTCTGGGTGGACAGATTCGAGGTGATTTTCTTTTTCACTCAACAGATTTTTATTTATTAAGGATCCACTGTGTGCTGGACTCTCTAAGGAGGCCATGCGGCAAAATTATAGCTCTGGGAGACAGAAGTTGGGGTGCTGGTTCCAGTTTGGTCACCACATCACCGTCACGAGAGGAGTCAAGGGGGCCCTTCCTACTGGATTTCATAGGACAGGCCCAATGTCCAGAGTCCCATTCAAATACTCCACTGGAACTTTCCTTCCTTGGCCCACAGCAACGACCCTCCCAGAGGCCAGAGCCGCTGGCTAGGAGGAATCCCTCTTCTACAAATGCTCCCCTGGACACAGGCTCAAATTAGAAGCACCTAGTTGGGTGATGCAGGAAGGAGGAATGCATCTTTGCATACAAACAGAGGCCATTTTTATTTCCTTTCCACTGGCCTATATTTCTAAAATTTCTAACATGAATGAGCTGGTATCAGGGTTCCCCCCCACATTGAATCTGTCTATACAAATGTATAAATAACAAGTGATCAGATATAGGCAAAGACCACAGTGCATGGGAGAAGAACCAAGAAAGACGCCATAAGGTCCACGGTGATTGGCTTGAGTAATGGGAGCATGATTTTTTTTTTCCATATACTCATCTGAATTTTCAGATTTTCGGTGACAAACATATTTCTTTCCTAATTAAAAATATATATTTCAGCCGGGCTCGATGGCTCAGCCTGTAATCCCGCACTTTGGGAGGCTGAGGTGAGTGGAATGTCTGAGCCCGCGGGTTCGAGACCCGCCTGGGCAACTTGGCAAGACCTCATCTCTACAATAAATCAAAAAATTAGC